ATATATGTATATATTTATACCTGTCTCTCTCTCTCTCTCTCTCGGTTGTTGGGACGTGAGATCGCAGTGGAACGGAGACCCCCAACCGGGAAATCGTTTCGTTTCGTTCGTGTCGTGCGTGCGGGCGAGGCGAAGCTGCGCGGGCGCGCGAGAGGAATGAACCCGCCGTTGCTAGGGCGAAGTCAAGAAATTTTTCTCCTCCTCCCGCCCTTCCGTCTGGCGGTGGCTCGCGGTGTCCCGCGGTGTCCCGTGGTGTCCCGTGGTGTCCGCCGTTGCTAGGGCGAAGTCAAGACAAACAATTCTCCCCCGCCCGCCCGTCGGTCCGTCCGTCTGGCGGTGTCTCGCGGTGTCCCGCGGTGTCCCATGGTGTCCCATGGTGTCCCATGGTGTCCCGTTGAGTGAGATCGATACTGAGATCGATAGTGAGATCGATACTGAGATCGATGTGGTGCCCCGAGGTTTCCCGTGGTGTCCCGTGGTGTCCCGTTGAGTGAGATCGATAGTGAGATCGATAGTGAGATCGACAGGTGTCCCTTGGTGTCCCGTGGTGTCCCGTTGAGAGAGATCGATAATGAGATCGATACTGAGATCGATAGTGAGATCGATACTGAGATCGATGTGGTGCCCCGAGGTTTCCCGTGGTGTCCCGTGGTGTCCCGTTGAGTGAGATCGATAGTGAGATCGACAGGTTTCCCGTGGAGTCCCGTGGTGCCCTATGGTGTCCCGTTGAGTGAGATCGATAGTGAGATCGATAGTGAGATCGATAGTGAGATCGATGTGGTGCCCCGAGGTTTCCCGTGGTGTCCTGGATTGCCCCGTTGAGTGAGATCGATAGTGAGATCGATAGTGAGACCGACAGGTGTCCCGCGGTGTCCCGCGGTGTCCCGTGGTGTCCCGTTGAGTGAGATCGATAGTGAGATCGACAAGTGTCCCGTGGTGTCCTATGGTGTCCCGTTGAGTGAGATCGATAGTGAGATCGATTGAGCCAGTTGTTGGTTCCTCCCCCTCTCCCACCCCCCCTCCTCCTTATCACCCGAAGGGTGGTCGGATAGGTGTGTATATATATATATATGTACAGAGAGGTGCAGATAGAGGGATAGAGAGCGAGAGAGAGTGGATGATGGGGCGGAGGCGCTACTACAGGCGATAGTTAGGAAAGAGAGCGCCCGCAGCGCCGGGAAGAAGGAACGGGGGGCCCAGCTTCCAGCGACCCCTCCCCCCCTCCCTTCCACATGGGGGGGGAGCTTCCGAAGCTACCCCACCCCCCCTCCCTTCTGTAAGGGTTGCTAAGCCAGGGGGGCCCTGGCTAAAGGGGGGGGGGGAGCTTCCGAAGCTACCCCACCCCCCCTCCCTTCTGTAAGGGTTTCTAAGCCAGGGGGGCCCTGGCTAAAGGGGGGGGGGCTTCGAAGCTATCCTCCCCCCCTCCCTCCCTCCCTCTTCCGGAGCAGAAGTTGAGCCCAGGCTTCCCTTTCAAAGGGGAGGGGGGGGCTTCGGAAGCTACCCCTCCTCCTTCTTTTTTTTGGTCTGGACACAGGGGGGGGGCGGCTTCAAGCTACCCCCCTCCACCCTCCTTTGCAAAGGGGGGGGGCTTCCGAAGCTACCCCCCCCCTCCCTTCCGGGGTTATGGCCAAATGGCTGAATCCCTGAAGACAGGTGCGCATTGCAGCGCTAGAGAACGCATTGGAGAATGACGTCGACCCCTGGTTCGTTTTCTTGCTTCCTTGTTTTTTCGGCCTCTGGTGCGTAGTCTCGTATTCTCGGGCCCTGATTCCTTCTCTCGTTTCCTCGTTTTCTCTGCCCCTGGTGCGTTTTCTCTCGTTTTTTCGGCCCCAGGGTCGTGGTCTCGTTTTCTCGGACCCTGCTCAGCTGTCTCGTTTTCCCGTTTTCTCGGCCCCTGGGTCGTGGTTTCGTTTCCACGGATGCTGGTTAATATTCTCGCTTTCTCGTTGTCTCGGCCTCCGGGTGGTGGTTTCGTTTTCTCTGATTCTGCTTCATTTTCTCGTTTCCTTGTTTTCTTGGCTCTTGGGTCGTGGTCTCGTTTTCTCGAACCAAGCGTTTTCTTGTGATCTCGGCCCTTGGGTCGTGGTTTCGTCGGACCCTGGTTCGTTTTCTCGTTTTCTCGGCCCCTGGGTCGTGGGTCGTTTTCGCGTTTTCTCGTTTCCTCGGCCCCTGGGTCGTGGTCTCGTTTTCTCGGGGCCTGGTTCATCTTCTCGTTTTCTCGTGTTCTCTGCCCCTGGGTCGTGGTTTTGTTTTCTCTGACCCTGGTTCTTTTTCTTGTTTTCTTTTTTTCTCTGCCCCTGGGTCGTGGTCTCGTTTTCTCGGACCCTGGTTCGTTTTCTCGTTTTCTCGCTTTCTCGGCCCCTGGGTCGTGATCGTGTTTTCTCGGGCCCTGGTTCGTTTTCGCGTTTTCTGTGCCCTTGGGTCGTGGTCTCGTTTGCTCGGACTTGGTTCGTTTTCTCGTGTTCTCGTGCTCTCGGCCCCTGGGTCGTGGTCTCGTTTCCTCGGACACGGGTTTGTTTTCTCGTTTTCTCTGCCCTTGGGTCGTAGTCTCGTTTTCTCGGACCCCGATTCGTTTTCTCGGCCCCTGGGTCGTGGACTCGTTTTCTTGGACCGATATTCGCGTTTTCTCTGCCCGCGTCGTGGTCTCGTTTGCTCGGGCGTTGGTTCGTTCTCTCGTTTTCTCGTGTCTTCGGACCCTCGGGCAATATCTCGTTTTCTTGGCCCTTGGGTCATGGTCTCGTTTTTTTTGTTTCTTGGCTTCTGGGTTTTTGTTTCGTTTTCTCGGCCCCTGGTTCGTTTTCTCGTTTTCTCGGCCCTTGGGTCGAGTTCTCGCTTTCTCGGGCCCTGGTTCGTTTTCTCGTTGTCTCGTTTTCTCGGCCCCTGGTTCGTGGTTTCGTTTTCTCGGGTGCTGGTTTGTTTTCTCGTTGTCTCGTTTTGTCGGCCCCTGGGTCGTGGTCTCGTTTTCTCGGATCCCGGTTCGTTTCCTCGTTTTCTCTGCCCTTGGGTCGTGGTCTCGTTTTCTCGGACCTTGGTTTGTTTTTTCGGACCCTGGTTCGTTTTCTCGTTTTCTCTCGGACCCTGGCTCGTTTTTTCGGACCCTGGTCCGTTTTCTCGTTTTCTCGGCCCCTGGGCTGTGGTCTCGTTTTCTCGGACCCTGCTTCGTTTCTTCGTTTTCTCAGACCCTGGGTCGTGGGCTCGCTTTCTCTGACCCTGGGTCGTCGTCGTCGTCGGTCCTCGGTCGTGCGTCGTCGGGCGTCCGTCGCCATCTTCGTATGACCTCGTCCTCGTCGTGACGACCACGACGAGGTCATACGAAGACGGCGACAATGACGGCGACGGCGGCGACGACGACGACGACGAGGACGATGACGGCGTCGTACGAAGACGCCGAGCGACGGCGACGGCAACGACGACGGCGACGGGAGAGGATCGTCTGGCAGGGGGAGTTCAAGGGAGGGGGGTGGTAGCTAAGCCGGGAGCTTCCGGCAGGGGGGAGAAAAATGGAGGGAAGGGGGGGTGGGCTTCCGGCAGAGGGGGGTCAAAGGAGGGGGGAGCAGTTGAGCTACCCTCCCCTTTCGTAAGGGGGGGAGGGGGGGGAGCTTCCCGGGTGCCGAAAGGGGAGGAGGGGGTGGGTGGCTGCTAAGCCCCTCCCCCCTTGGAACCAAAGGGGGGGAGGGGGGGAGGGAGTTTCTGGCAGAGGGGGGTCAAGGCGAGAGGGGGGGGAGCCAAGCCCCCCCTCCCTCCCTTTGGAAAGGGAGGGAGGAAGGGAGGGAGGGGGGGATAGCTTCGAAGTGGCGAAGGGTGTGGAGGGCGGGGTAGCCTCAGGGGGGAGGCGAAACGGGGGGGGAAAGGGGGGGGAGCTTTCAGCAAGGGAGGCGGCAGTGAGGGGGGGCAGATAAGGAGGGACCCCACCCCTGCCTTTGCTCCGGCGCTGTGGGCGCGCTCTCTCTCGTGTGATAAGGGCTGAAGGCGCTGAGGAGCAGCAGCTGGTGATTGAGAGGGATGCGGATGATGAAACTGATCATGTTGTTGATGATGATGGTGGTGGTGGTGGTGATGATCATGTTGATATTGATGTTGAGGTTGATGATGATGATGACGATGGCGATGACGATGGTGATGGCGATGACGATGACGATGATGATGAGCTTTTGATGGTGATGATGACGATGACAATGGCGATGACGATGACGACGACGATGATGATGACGGTTGTGATGATGGTGATGATGAGGATGATGATGATGGTGATGGTGGTGATGATGTTTATGCTGATGCTGATGTTGATACGGATGCTGGTGATGATGATAATGGTGATGCTGATGACGTTGATGATGACGGTGATGCTGGTGATGCTAATGATGATGTTAATGATGGTGGTGCTGATGATGGTGTGATGATGGTCATGTTGATGCTGCTCATGATGATGATGATGATGATGATGATGATGATGATGATGATGATGATGATGATGATGATGATGATGATGTTGCTCATGGTGATGATGCTGATGGTGCTGATGGTGGTGCTACTGCTGCTTTGGATGATGCTGATTATGTTGGTAACGATAATGATGATGCTGATGCTGATGATGCTGCTGATGATGATGATGATGATGATGGTGATGATGACGACGATGATGATGACAACGACGACGACGAGGAAGAGAAAGAGGAGGATGTGGATGCTGCTGCTGCTGCTGATGCTGATGCTGCTGCTGCTGATGATGATGATGATGATGCTGCTGATGCTGATGCTGATGATGATGATGAAGATGGTGCTGATGATGATGATGATGCTGATGATGATGATGCTGATGATGATGATGATGATGCTGCTGCTGCTGATGATGATGATGATGATGATGATGATGTTTAGGAGGAGGAGGAGGAGGAGGAGCATGAGGGGGAGGCAGAGGAGGAACCAGATCAGGAGGAGCCAGTGAAGAGGCACAGGAAACGCATGAGGAGGTGGAGTGTGCGTCGTCTCCTGTCCCCCAGGCAAGATCAGCGTCCAGAAGGCGACCGCCAGCAGTCTCGAGAAGTCCAAGGAGGGGCCGCCGGGATTACGGGGAGCAGCTGGCGAGGAGGAGGAGGAGGAGGAGGAGGACGACGACGACGACAACGAGGGAAGAGGCGGCGAAGAGAGGAGAAGGAGGAGGAAGAGGAGGAGGAGGACTGGCGCTTCGAGCCGTCGCTCCCGTGGCATGACCAAGAAAAGAAGCAGGAGGAGGAGGAGGGGGAGGAGGAGGAGGAGGAGGAGGGCCCGAGCCCCAGGAAATTTAACCAAAACCAAAACCGATAGGATTCGGCACGCCAGGCACCCCTGCGATGAATCGACAGGGGGCGGCGGATCTAAGGCGCCTACGGCGAATCACCGCCGCCCCCTGCCTTGTTGGAAGCTCCTGTGTGGCCGAACGTAGAGGCCAGACCTGCCAAGCTATCGGACCATGTGTTCCCCGAATCGGTTTGGAAAGCATTCGGGGAACACGTGGGCATCTTGAAGGTCATCTTGGCCGTCTGGAGGCCATTTTGACTTTTTCGGGCCTTCTTGGAGGACGTCTTGGAGGCCATCTTGAGCGTTTGGGGGGCCTTGGGCCGTCTTGGGGGCCTCTTGGGGCCGTCTTGGAGGCCTCTTGGGCGATCTTTGGGGGCACTTGGGCCGTCGGAAGGCCGAAACAAAGCAAATGCCACAATCCTTTAAACACCTATGGAAAATCAATGATTTGGGCCTCTTCGAGCCCTCCTGGAGGCCCTCTCGGAGGCCTCTTGAGCCGTCCTGGGCCATCTTAGGGCCATGTTCGGCCGTCTTGGTGGGCTCCTGGTCCGTCTGACGCCGTCGGAAGCCGTTTGGGGGGCCTCTCTGGGCCGACTTGGGGTCCTCTTGGAATGCTCCAGGACCGTCTTGGAGGCCATCTTGGGCGTCTTAAAGACCTCCTGGGCCGTCTTGGGGGCCTCTTGGGGTCGCCTTGGGGCCCACTTGGGCCGTTCTGGGGCCATTTTGGAGGCCTCTTGGGCGATCTTTGGGCGCTCTTGGACCGTCTCGGCCCGTCGGAATGCCGAAAAGAAGCAAATGTCAAATTGCTTCACACACCTAAGGCAAATCAATGTTTTTGGCCTCTTCTGGCCTTCCTGGAGGCCCTCTTGGAGGCCTCTTGGGCCGTCTTGGGCCAGCTTCGAGCCACCTTCGGCCATCTTGGTGGGTTGCTGGCACGCCTGACGCCGTCGGGAGCCGTCTTGGGGCCTTTCTGGGCCGACTTGGGGCCCTCTTGGGGCGCTTCGGGGCCGTCTTGGAGGCCATCTTGGGCGTCTTGGAGGCCATCTTGGGGCCCTCTTGGGGCGCTTCGGGGCCGTCTTGGAGGCCATCTTGGGCGTCTTGGAGGCCATCTTGGGCGTGTTGGATCTTGGGCGTCTTGGAGGCCATCTTGGGGCCCTCTTGGGGCGCTTCGGGGCCGTCTTGGAGGCCATCTTGGGCGTCTTGGAGGCCATCTTGGGCGTGTTGGAGGCCTCTTGGGGCCGTCTTGGAGGCCTCTTGGGCCGTCATGGGGCTCTCTTGAGGGCCTCTTGGGCGATCTTGGGGGCCTCATGGGCCGTCTTGAGCCGTCGGGAGGCCGAGAAGAAGCACATTCCAAAATCCTTCAAAAACCTTTGGAAAGTCAATGATTTTGGCCTCTTCGGGCCCTCCTGGAGGACCTCTTGGAGGCCTCTTGGGCCGTCTTGGAGGCGTCTTGGAGGCTTCTTGGGCGAAATTGGGGTTATCTTGGACTCTCTGGGGCCGTCTTGGAGGCTGTCTTGGAACATCTTCGGCGGACTTGGAGGCCATCTCGGACCATCTTGGAGGCCATCTCGGGCCAACGTGGCCATCTTGGAGGCCATCTTGAGCCGTCTTGGAGGAACATTTGGGAATTGGGCGATGGCTTGGGCGTCCTATGGGTTTCGCGGGGGCCCCGGCGGGACGGGCCGAAGCGCCAGGGGGAGTTCTTCTGGAAGAGAAACAAAACCAAAACCGTAAGAAGTCCAGCACGCCAGGCCCCCCTGTGATGAATCAATTGGAGAAGCCTCTCGGGGGCCTGCCCGAGGCAGTTTGGAGGCCTCTGGGGGGCTGTTTGGGGGCCTCTTGTGGCGTCTTTTGGGCCTCTTGGGGGTCTCTTGGTGGCCTCTTGGGGCCCCTTGGGACGTCGTATGTGATTTGGCCTTCCTGCCATGTGCCGAAGCCTGGCAACCGGCGCCCAACGCTGTCGTGGCTAGCTGGTCGGAGCCTTCTGCCTCCCCGGCCGCCCTCCTCCCCAAGGCGGGCATCGAGGACGAGATCGCGCTGCTCATGGAGCAGCGCAAGCTCATCGCAAAGGAGCGGAAGGGTGATAGGAGAATCCAGATATCCGACGATATGATTAGTTCAACTGACGCCTTTGGCCTCCGTG